AAATGTTTTTTCATTAGGACATCTCCCGTGCTAGTTTTCCAATACTCTCACTTGCCTACTCATTGCGTGCTTGCATGCTCATTGCATGCTCATTGCATGCTTGCGTGCCCATCACTTGCATGCTTGCACGCTCATTGCATGCTTGCGTACCCATCACTTGCAGTGTGTCAGTGTGTATGTGTAAGTGTCAGTGTCGAAGTGTCAGTGTATGTAGTGCGAATGTGGTGGAAGTGTCAGTGTGTAAGTGTGCGTGTCGAAGTGTCAGTGTTCAAGGGATTTTCCGGAAGAACCCTTCGCAATGCTTTCGGGAAAAAGGAGCGACTGGGAACGTTTGGTGGAGTCCGCGGAACACCGCGCTCTATCCATTAAACTTTTATGCTCACACCCTGGTTGCAGGACTCTCCTTGTGCGGTAAGACTTGCCAGGAGTGTCACGCATCAGGATGGGTTTGAGGTGTGGCGCCTTTTGTGGCGTGAGTCTCACCCTCAACAGGCGGTTGGTGGCGCCGTGCTTTGGCCCCTAAATTCCCGACAAAGGAGGCAGTTCTGCTCTCCAGGAATGGGAAAACGACGCGCATCGATACGCCGCCGAATAGGGGGCAGACCAGGGATCTCTGAGGAGGACCAGCGGGCCCTTCTCGTCACAGAATCCACCCGGCAGAACTTGGCCACCCATGCTGCAACGCTGACGACCCATCAGCAAGTGCGCGCTGTGGTGGTCTCTTACTTGCAGGCCAAGCGGGTGTGGACTCCCGCTGGCTCTTATGCCGGCCCGCCAAAACAATTTCAGCGGGACCGCGATGCAATGGACATCGGAAAAGAACTGTAGAAACAAGGGGAATAAAGGAAAGCGTTCCAATAAAGGGTGACTTGACAAAGGAAAAGGTGGAAAGCAGAACCCAAAATGAAAGACACAGGCAAAGGCAAGGACAAGAAAAAGGAAAAGGAGGAGAAGGACAGATGCCCGATCTGGTCACAGTAGAGCAGTGTTGGTACTGGGCGCCAAAGGGAAGAACCAGAAACAGGAAGTGTCAATGCGCTCGACGATGCCCTTTCCCAGTCAATGCCCCGGCCGGGTCGCAGACTTCCACCGCGGCTCCCTCAAGCACACAGCGGCAGTCTGTCTGTCGCCAAGGAATGTTCACTGGCCGCTTGGATCGCAAGGCAAACAAATCCCTCTACTCAGTAGCCGCTGAGCTCGGGCATGAAGCTCAGTCAGCAGGATGCCACAGTGACCTTCCAGGTGGTGGGTCGTAGTGGAAGTGCTGGACGCGTGAAAACTCGGTTGGAGGGCGCCCTCTTCACAGCGCCAGACCCAAAGCGCGCAGAGAACATCCTGACCGCGCTAGACATTCAGCCTAAGGAGAAGTCACCGGTCCCGTCGCGCAAGCTCAACTTGGATGAGGACGAACCACTGACCGATGATTGGGCCAAACGGTGCAGATCGGCTGTGGGCAGTGGCATGTATCTGTCGGCAGTCAAAGAGCTGGCTCGCCACATGGCACTGTGAGTGGGAAAATGCTTTGGTCATGGAATGGGTAGGTATCTCAATAGCCGCCCAGATCTGGTGCAAGCAACGGTGCTTGATGGCGACGCCCATCAGCATCTTGCCCTTGAGTTGTACAGCGACAGTGATTGGGGAGGATGTCCAGAGACCTGATGCCCGTGCGGGCTATTTAGGGCCTCCACGCAAACGCAGCCTGGTCTGGCGTCTGATGAAGGATCTTGAAGAAAACAGCAAGCATCCTAGCTAGGACACGCAAACATTCAAAAATTTGTTTGCGAATTCCTGTGTGTTTGTGTTGGTGGAGTTTTATCGCACAGCCTCAGCACTGCCGGGCATCCTGGTTCATGCTTGAGAGTCTGAACTTGTGCGGCTGTGAAAGGCCAGAAAGATGGTCCAGAAGGTTGTGGCTACTTTCCTTGGATCTCAGGAGTGCTACTCGGTTGTGTGTTCTGGATGTGCGTGTGCAAAGGCGTCAGACTGTGGCATGGGCGTGATGCACGAGAGCCTGCGCCAGAACCAGAGAACCAGAGCCGGACCATGTGTGGATAGAGCGGGCGACCCCGCCTTTCCGTGAAGGGGGGCCATCGCTGGCTGATACCCCAACTGCAATACCAAGGGCGTTTCGACATGACCGATCCGTTTTAAGGACTGGTTCCAGAGCACACATGTACTCTAACTGTCAAGGCCTGCAGCGCGCCCCAGAGGCTGAAATCCATGAAGAAATGATCTGCCAGACTTGCTATTGACCGACATCCCATCGGGAACTTTGGCTTCATCTGGAACGTATCCATCTGGTATGCCACATTCCTATAGGCGAGAGATTCATCTCCTCACAGACTGTCCAGAGTTGGCACGGCGCACTACATGGCATGTGCTCCGCCGAACTCTGAGCGGGTAGCCCCGCCGCGGCGCAGGCACACTGTTGTCCGAGCGGGTAGCGCCGCCGGATGACCGCCCCTAGCCTTTAAGGGGGGTGTAAATTTCTGTGCAGTGGTAGGTACTGTTTCACATGTATAGTCTTTTGTCAAGACCCAGGGGCTTGAGCCTAAGCTACCGCAATTTTTTTTGAAGAAAAGAACACAATTTCTGCTGCGCGGTTCCTCCGCGCATTCGCCGCCGTTCAACGACAGGAGTCTAAACTCATGGGGTTTGATGACGCATTTCCTGTTTCACTGATAGAACCACGATTCAAAAATCTGACTGACTTTGCATTTAAGAAACCTGAATGCCTTGATACGTTGTTCATACAGACCCTGAAAAAGAATCAACCCTGCAATATCCTGGGTGGCTCTATATATATATATATAACAACCTCCCAATTTTTCGCTCCTACTTTTTGCTCGGCTTTGTTGCTGGTCTAAAGCAAGGATCCAAGAACTCGAGCCTGGCCAAAGCTTCCGCCACCTCTGAGCGGAATACGGAACGGAAATTTCTCCTCAAGCGGGAGCAGGTTCGCAAGGAGCTTGAAGTAGAGACGTCTCAGAAGTTGCCAGCCAACCTTTGTTGAGTTTGTTTTGGGGCCTTCCTGATTACCAATTCTTTGTCCTTTGTTGTATTTGTTGAGGGGGGTTATGGCAGTTGAAAAACTGAACCTTTTTCAAGGTGTTTCCTAGCCTGGTTCCCCAAATCTGTCATCCAGGAACATTGTAGGCTTTCTGTCACAGGCAGCCAAGCAAGTCAGGCTCATGAATGAACTGATCCAACCCCAGCTGGATGACCTGCAGAAAAAGGAAAGGATCTTGCAGCAAGAGCAGGCAGTTGTGGCGAGGGAACGTCATTCCATATCAGAGCCTTCACGCGTATTTTGTCTCGGTCATGTTTGTCTAGGCCAAAGCAGCTGTTTCATTTGGGAAGACCTTGAAAAGTTATTGTATGGTCGAAGTCTATATGACTGTGGGTCAAAACCGGTGATCTTGGCTGACTAGCAAAAATGAACAGAATAGACTACCAGGGAGATCAACCTACCAGGGTTTGGGGCTCCAGGTTTTTGATTCACAGCTACATTTCAACTTGGATGTGCGTCACTTGGATGTGCGTCTGGCGTCACAGAAGTAGCCTGGGCTACCCGGGCTTTCATGATTTCGCCAACTAAGGAACAGTCTTTTGAACTCGAAGCGAAAAAAACGCCAACTTCAACAGCGCCTTGAAAGCAATGATGTTGACACCCAGCGCCTTCGAGAGGCTTGGGGCTGGCGGTTTGTCGCAAGTTTGTTTGGGAAGGGGGTACCAAGTCCCTTCGCAGGTGGCCTTACTTCGGGCCCCCGGGTTTGCTGCACGGCTAGTCAGCAGCTGCAACCTCAGCAATCGAAACCTGAAACCAGTACGAAGCGAACAAGCCCAAACGTCCTTGATTCTGGATGGTCAAGTGATCTCTTTGGAGCATGAGCCACAGCAACAAGTCACATAAACCCTGCTTCCGCAGGAGCTGAAGCGGCGCGAGGCCGAATCCTTGCGGCTTCGGTCGGAGACGAAGCACCTTGAGCAACGCATCCACGAGGAGAAAGCAGCGAGAGTGGCGGAGAAAGCAGAGCTGGTCCGGCAGTTGCGATCGCAACCGCCCGCATCGGTTGATGAGGAGACGTGGCAGTACCAGAATGATGAAGGAGATTGGGCCGTATGGCTTGCGCAGCATTGTTTTTCTTTGATTCATTGGGTTGTTTTGTTGGGAAAGTGAGCAGATCAGTGAATCATTGCTCGCCTTTTGTATGAAAGCCGAGCATTTTGCACGAGGTCTCCTACTCCTCTCGTTCCAACGATGAACTCATGGGGGCGTTAAAGGAAGGGAAAAAGACTATCATTTTGACCATTGATCAAAAAGGCTATGAAGTGGACTTCACATTGATGAAGCAGATGAATCAACGCACCGAGAAGAGGCGATCAATACGCCTTTTCTTTGGGCTTCCCAACCACTGGGGTATCTGGGTCGACATGGCGTCATTGTACAATCACCCATTTTCGGTTCTTGCAACTACACAAGAATTGCGTTGTTGCAACGTGAAACGACCTGTGAAGTGGTGTGAATGTGTGCCAAGCACGCCTGAAGATTGAGATTGAACCAGAGCTCAGAATCGGACCATCAGAGTTTGCCTGAAGATGGTCCGACAGATCCGATACGTCCTAGGTATGACTGATGAAGATGCGTTAAAGCTTCTGAAGGGTGAGGTACAAGATGCTCAAGAAGCTTCTGATGCCTCTGTCTCCATGGGCACCGTGCTGACGACCATCAGCGAGGGGACGCGAATGGCAATGCGGGCTCCGTTCAAGAAGTTCGTGCGGAAAGTGCAAGATCTTAATTGGCTGTACCTGCGGCTGTTCTGGGAAATATTGTTTCGCAAGAATACTTTTGACTTTAGAAACTTTTGTCGGTGACTGCCTCAGTAGGCCGCACTCAAGCCCTGCCAAGGTCAGAATTGGAAAGCCTGCTCAATTCATCCGCCCTTCGTCATGATCAGAGCAGATGTCATTGCCCTCACGGTGACTCGAAGTACCGTTTGCTAGAGGCATACCAGGTTAGGAACTTGTATTTGTGGCGCAGATACCAGCGGTTTGTCAGAAATCTCGGAGACAAGCAGAACCAGCACCTTGGAGGTACAGTCTGACAGATCTGTTTGATGACAGCTGTGTTGCTGTTGTTTACCTTATAGACCTTTGACTAAGGGTTTTGTTTAGCGTCGTTTAGCTTTTACATATGATGTTGGCAACATGGCATTTCAATGCATAGTTCGTGAGGTTTTGTTTTGATACAGAAAGCTTAGCCATTCTTTGCATTCCTTTGTGCATCATGAGGCATGGTATTGTCCCGGAAGAGATCCAGCCACCAGTATGTGAGGCGCTCACAAACTTTGCAGAGGGTCTCCAGGTTGACCTTCCTTGCAATGAAAGGCTCCTTTTTCACGGAACCATGAAATTTGGGTACGCGAAGGCCATTGCCGTGGAAGGCTTTGACAATCGCATTGCAAGACAAGGGCTTTATGGAAAAGGAACCTACTTTGCGTCACAGACCTGCAAATCGGCTCAGTATGCGACCAAGCGTGGGCGTGCTGAGAAGGCGTCGCATAGAATGCCCGGGACAATGCTGGTTGCGCGTGTTGCTTTAGGCGATCCCTATTACACAGAAGGAAAGTACAACGAATCACGCGTCTTGTCAGCGCAGAGTGTTTCTTGTCCAGTTTTTGAAGGGGTGCAACTGCACACTCTGAGTACCTGTGAGGTCAGACAACAAATTTGGATGAGGTCATGATGAGGTCCATCTATAGGGCGGACCTCACAATTCTTTCATCGTTGGCTTTTTCAATTTGGTTTTGTGCAGGCACTTGGTTTTGTGTAGATTGCGACAATGGACCTGTCCTGGTTTGTTTGAGGGCTGCTGCTCTTCACCCCTTGGATTCCGGGGGCTAGCTGCCTGCCCAAGCGACCTTTGTTGGGATTGCAAGGGGGGCAATGCATTGGGTGGTTTCAATTGAGCTAGGTAGGCCTGCCTGTACTGCTGCAAACAACTCCGTACTTTGTGGCACAAGCGCTTGGTCCACGCCCATAGGCTGACTTGTGCAGGGTATGATTTAATTCGGCTAAATGAAGGACTCCACTATCAGTTCGAAATTTTAGGTTGTTTGCCCGACTGTCGATGATTTGCAGAGGACTTGCGAAGCTACACAAAATCCTTGTTTCTCCTAAGGTCCACCTACCAAGAACTCCCACCCTGTGGACGATTCAGACGACGAGCGCACAGTGCTTTGTGATTCTTTGATCGCAAGACCTGGCATACAAGCGGGTCAACATCCACAGGCTCACATGGAGTTTGTGACCTTTGCGCCAGAACAAGCATACCCGGAGTTCATCCTCAGATTCGTCGAGGAGGACTAGATAGAGACTTGATTAGCTTTTTTTGTCAGATCGCCTTGGCGCCCCATTGTGCAGAATGTCATGATTGGCATCCACGGGGTCGACCAATGTTGATGTATTCTTGGAAGATCCGGGATTTCGACGGGATGCTTCCCTCACAGCCTTACCTTGAAGAAGGTCCCAGTTTTCCGAACATGCTTGCAGAAAAAACATTCCGCCCTTTGCACCTGTCAGCTTGTTTTTTGTTTTTTCTTGTTTCCCCAGTTCCCGAGTCACATTTGTCTAAGGTTGTCCTCTGGGTGCAATTTTGGCGGTGGCTGTGAGGCAAATCGGTCTCAAATTGGATAACAATGGGAGTGATCGATTGTTTGATTGATCACCCTTCCCAACCCAAAAAAGAACTCATGCCACACTTGCGATCTACACTTTGGAAACCTTTGGAAAAACATTAGGATCGCAGATTCCAAACAAGTTGGCCTATCCCATGTTTCCCTGACATGTCAAACCTGGGGATGGGGCTGGGCAGGGACTCAAGGTCGCACCGGCCCGCCCCAGGCGACCTGGTGGAGCGAAGCGGCATTCGTGCAGGCACCTGTGGCGACCGGAGCGAGAAGATTTTTGGTTTGGCCCTGCTTTTGCACCACGGTGCACGGTGTTTCAGGACCAAGTTGCAAGATGAGGATACTTGAATGCCGCAGACATTTGCTTTACAAACTCCTTGAATAACAGTGTCCTGAGTTGCAATTTTTGTCTACAGTTTCAAATTTGAAGACGATTGGACGCAAATCCACCAAATCTTCCACCTGAAGATCTCAACACTTTTGTGTGAACTGTGGCCATGACGACGCCTGTAGATCCAGTGGTGGATGTGCTCGAGGAAGGGAAGCGCCCCTTGGACTCCTTGTTTCGCCCCAAACGGGTCGCCGTGGTGGGCGCCACCGACAAGCACGGCAGCGTGGGGCGGACCTTGCTGAAGAATCTCATCAGCAACCCCTTCGGGGGCGTGGTCTACCCGGTGAACCCCAAGCGCCCACACGTCCTGGGCATTTTGGCCTTCCAATCCATCGCGGCCTGCCCGGGGCAGGTGGACTTGGCCATCGTGGTGACGCCCGCGTCCACGGTGCCGTCGGTGATCCAGGACTGTGTGGATCAGAAGGTGGGGGAGGTTGAAGCAGAGTGGACATTTTTTGATTCAATCAGTGTCTTTCGTTTTTGATTGGTTCCCCCAAAACCGGGGCCCTCACTTGGTAGGACCTGGCCTATCCTAGCCCCCTGCAGGTGAAGAATGCCATCATCATCTCTGCTGGTTTCAAAGAAGTGGGCCCTGAAGGAGAGGCGCTGGAACTGAAGGTCTCGGAGATTGCGAAGAAGGGGAACTTGCGGATTGTGGGGCCGAACTGTTTGGGCATCATTTGTCCTTCCTCGGGCTTGAACGCCTCCTTTGCCAACTTGATGCCTCAGAAAGGCAGCGTCGCCTTTATCAGCCAATCGGGTGCCATGATCACCTCGGTCTTGGACTGGAGCGTCTCGCAGAAGGTGGGCTTTAGTGCGGTGATCAGCATCGGCTCCATGTTGGATATGGACTTCAGCAGCATGATTTTCTACCTAGCGAAGGATACAGCCACCAAGAGCATCGTGCTCTACATGGAGTCCATTGGCAATGCCAGGAATTTCCTCTCCGCAGCGAGGGAGTGCTCCCTGACCAAGCCGATCATTGTGGCTTGTTCGATGTTCGAGCTTTTTTGTGTGTGTCTCAGACTCAGACCATCTCACATTCCATCTCAAATTATTGTAGAAGAGTATTAAATGATATACCCTGGCTTCGACTTCAGAGATGTTTTTCACGTCAAAGGTTCCACTTTGGGTGATTCCATTGTGACCGATGGTTCGCCCGGTCAGATTCGCCGCCGACCAGGTCATCAAAGGTGGTCGAACCGATGCAGCCGCCAAAGCTGCCGCCTCCCACACTGGCAGTCTGACAGGAAGCGATGCCGTGCTCGATGCTGCCTTCAAGCGCGCAGGAGTCTTGCGGGTTGACAGCATGTCAGAGTCTTGGGTGAACATTTGCTGTAATGTAGATGCGCTTCTTTTTCGATAAATATCTGTCAGTAGTCGGTCAATATGGAAGTGGTTCTGGTTGTGAGCATTCGTGGCAGAACCACTGAGATAACCCTAATCCATACCTGAACACTGTTTTGCATCATAGTGATAAAGCTAAGCTGGATGATATGATATTGCTCTTTGATGAACCAAATCTCCTGCCCTAACCGGCGTGACTTCCCCAAAGAAGCGCAGATCCCTGGCTATCGCCAGGCCCTCCCGGAGCCTCTCCGCGTTGCTGAGGATCTGTTCGAGATGGCCGACGTGCTCTCCAAGCAGCCGTTGCCCAACGGCAACCGCCTGGCCATCCTGACGAACGCCGGTGGCCCGGGCGTGTTGGCCACCGACGCCTTGGCCAGCCACGGCGGGGCGGTGGCGGAGCTGGAGCCCAAGACGGTGGAGGCCTTGAACAAGGCGCCCCCGATGTCGGCTTCGTGTGTGTGTTTGCGTCTGCAGAGGTGAAAGCAAGACGCGGCATTTTTTGTTGGAAATTGAATTTGGTTGATTACCTGAGGGTTTAGTTGGAATTTAGTCTCCTTAGGTTTACGCTTGATCTTTGGCGCTACTTTGCTGTTGTGTTCCGGGCTTTGAGATTCGGGTAGGAGGCAGGGTAGCTGAAGGCGTTTTGGTTCTTGAAAGCCAAGGCTTCCACCCTTGGAACAGATAGACAAATTCATACAATTTCTACAGGTTGGCTTGTTGGAACCACAGGATTCAATCAAGGTTCACTGTAGCCTTTGCAAGGCTTGCAAGGGTTCCATTTGTTGCAATTCACGAAAGCTAGCATCAGCTAGCTGGAGTTGCTCTTGCTTTAGCAAGTCAAGGGCTCGCAGCCTCGAGAATCATGAATC